AGGGTCAAGGTTGCAACAAGAACAATGTCCTTAATTAATTCCGTAATACAGATTAGATATAAATATATGCTATATCCAGTTAGAGTGTGCGATGAACAAGTTATGGTTAATAAATTTATTGATAAATCATTTAAGTGTAAGTCAAGTTAGAAGAGAGATGAACTATGCAATGCAATCGGAAGAAAGGAGCAGGAGACTGGAAGGATTGTAGAAGTGAACGAGGTTGAGGTAGAAGGCTCAATTGGAAATATGGCGGACTTGAGTGCTGAGATGGCACGATCATAGAGAGTTGATTTGGCACACACTGTATTAGTGGTAGAGGGGAAGATGGCCAACGGTGTCTCCACCTCGAGAATGGAATAGACAATGGAGGTGGGTTTGGAAAGCCAAAGGGCAATTAAAGCAACCGTGGAGAGAAACAATTCAGAGAATTTGAATCCCATCCAACTATTTAATGAAGTGAGTGGGTCGGTGGAAGGTAAGGGTAATGGGTTCATGAGAAGCATTAGTGAGGATGGGCTTGATAACCTAGGGATAGCATTGGAAGTGGATTTGGTTAAAACCCAGTGTGATGGGCCAAGATTTGGGCTCATGGTTAGCAATAGTAACTCAGGCCTAGGATGTTCGATCATCATCACTTTATGTTGAGGCTACATTTGAGAGTGGCAACACAATTGGGGAAAAAAAGGGAGTTAAAACAGAGGAAAAAGTTAGTAAGGAGAAATGGTAGTAGAATCTCGGTGGACAAGCATGAGAGAGCTAGGGGAGGGAGAAATGAAAGGAAAGGAGGTGCAGTGGGTATGGGAAATTGGAGTAGAGGTGCTATCCTAAGACTTAAATATGGGTTAAAAGAAAGATCGGATGCACATGGGTAAGTCACAAGTAGAGAAAATTTCGGGGCAAGATCAAAATTGGAGTTGATTGGGAGAAATTTTCGTAGGAATTTGACACCTCGGGAGGAGGCAGAAGAAAACAATATGCATGGGCAAAGCCTTAGGCATATGCTTTGGTGGGAAGGAAGGGGAGGTGAAGGAAAAATTAAAAGCTATGGAGATCAAAGATAAAGTTCATGCAGCTTCAAGGGCTGTAAATGCGCAAATGGGAGCTGATGTGCAAAATTGATTGAATGTATCAGGTGGTTACAGGGGTTATATAATGTGTCTCTATGAAGCTCTTATCATGGAATGTAAGGGGTTTGGGTAAAACTGAAAAGAGAGGAAGGGTCAAATTACTGCTCAAAGATAGGAAAATTGATTTTGTTTTTTTCCAAGGGACAAAGAAAACTGAGGTTACACCAGATTTTGTAACATCATTATGGCGTGTGGATGAAATGGAATTCATGGTAGTCGACTCTGAAGTTAGGGCAGGTGGGCTTTTGTGCATTTGGAAGCCATCTGTTTTCAAGTTATCCCAGTGTTGTAGCACAAGGTATTGCGTTGTACTCTTAGGTACTCTTATTCCAAATTTTAACTGTGTCCTTGTCAATGTTCATGCTCCAAATGAAGTTAATGAGGGAAGTAGATTCTGGAGTGTGCTGTATGGGTTGATATATAGCTTCTGTAATCCCTGGTGTCTAGCTGGAGACATCAATGAGATACGGAATCTTGGAGAAAGAAGGGGGTGTTCTAGAAGAGACAGAGGGATGAAAGAGTTTAATTTATTTATAGAAAATATGGAGCTTCTTGATTTATCCATGTTGGGAAGACAGTTCACATGGTGCAATTCTAATGAAGGAGAAAGATGGAGTAGAATTGACAGAGTACTCATGTCAACGGAGTGGGTAGAAAGGTTGAAATTAAAGTTATGGGGTTTAGAGAGAAGTGTTTTAGATCATTGCCCCCTGTTACTGGTTGAGAATGGCAGGGATTGGGGTCCCAAGCCATTCTGCTTTATAAATGCTTGGACTCTACATCTGAAATTTGGAGAAGTTGTAAAGAAGTTGTGGGATGATTTTGCAATTACTGCCTGGGCAGGTTTTGTTATTATGAATAAGCTGAAGGCTCTACGTTCAGTTTTGAAAAGATAGAATATGGAGGTCTTTGGGAATGTTACTCATTCATTGAAAGCAATGGAGAAGGAGCTCTATGCCATTGATCCAGCGGTTGAATCTAGAAGTCTTATGGAGAATAAGGTTAAAAGAATGAGAGAAGTTCGAAAGGAAATATGGTCATTAAGTAGGAGAGAAGAATAGTTATGGAGGCAGAAGTCTAGAGTTAATTGGAGTTTAAAAGGAGACAAGAATACATGATTCTTTCATGTCATAGCTACAAGCAGGCAAAATAGAAATCTGCTGAATTCAATTGAAGTGGATGGGGAGATTCTTGAGGATCCATAAAAGGTCAAGCATGAGGTAGCTAAACACTTTAGATTCAGGTTCTCTGAAGAGTGGAAATTTTGACCTAAGCTCCAAGGTGTCTTTAAGTCCATTGGTCAAGATAATGATTATAATGGGCTGGTCGCTCATTTTTCAGAGGAGTAGATTTGGAGAGCTGTTAAAGAAAGTGATGGTAATAAGGCACCAGGACTTGATGGTTTCAACCTGTCTTGGTTTAAAAAGTGTTGGAAAGTGTTTAAAAAGGATATCTTACAATTCTTCAAGGAATTCTATGATAATGGATGCTTAGCAAAAGGTATTAATAGTTCTTTCATCACATTGATACCTAAGAATGAGAATCCAGGTGGTGTTTCAGATTATAGACCAATTAGCTTTATTAGATCTCTGTACAAAATTCTGTCTAAGGTTCTAGCATCTAGACTTAAGAAGGTATTGCCTAAATAATTGGAGAATCTCAGTCCGCTTTCATTGGTGGGAGGAACATTTTAGATGGAATTTTAGTATCCAATGAAGTAGTGGATTGGTGGGAGATGAAAGGGAAGAAGGGAGTAATTTTGAAAAAACATATGATACTGTAAATTGGGAGTATCTCTTTGATATGTTGTCAAGCTTTGGCTTCCAGGATAAGTGGATTATGTAGATGAAGGTGTGTATACAATCAGCTAGAGTTTCAGTTCTTGTTAATGGTGTCCCGACTAATCAATTCTGCCCAGAAAAAGGACTCAGACAAGGGTATCCACTATCTCCCTTTCTTTTTAATATAGTGGCTAAGGGTTTGAATATATTATTTCAAAGAGCTAAAGCATTGGAGTTAATCAAAGGTGTTGTGATTGGCCTAAGGGAGGTCACCCATTTGCAATTTGCAGATGATACAATTATGTTTTGTGAGGCGGAAGAGAATGACATTTTAAATGTGAAGAAAATCTTGAGGTGTTTTGAAGTGTTTTTTGGATTGAAGATTAATTTTTATGAAAGTACAGTTTGTGGAGTAGGTGTACAAGAGGCTGATGTAAATGTTTTCGCAGGAAAATTGAATTGTATGATCCAGAAGATACTATTCATGTATCTTGGTTTACCACTGGGTGCCAGCCCAAAGAGGAAAAACACATGGTTGCCAGTAATCAATAAATTCAAGTCTAAGCTGGCGTCTTGGAAAAGGAAATTACTATCATTTGGAGGTAGGTTAACACTGATCAAAGCAGTGCTGTCTTCTTTACCAGTGTACTACCTATCATTGTTTAAATTGCCTGGAAGTGTATCAAAGTTGTTGGACAAAATTCAGGCCAGATTTTTGTAGGGAGGTTCAGAACTCAAAAAGAAGCTCCGTATGGTAAAATGGGAGAAGGTTACCAAAAACAAATCACTTGGGAGGTTTGGGGATTAAGAAATTGAAGGAAGTCAATGATTGTTTACTAGCCAAACGGTGGTGGAGATATGGTGGTGAGGACCATGTGTTGTGGAAAGACATTTTGATTAGTAAATATGGCAGCTCTAGAGGAAGGTGGAGACCAATTTCTGATAGCATTGCCCAGTGTTCAAGAGTCTGGAGTGATATTCTCAGTTTGGAAAACAACAATCCTAATCTATTTTGCTTCTTTATGGATAATTCTGTCATTCAAGTAGGGAATGGAATGAGAGTTAGATTTTGAGAGGATAGTGGGCTACCAACAAATGTTTGAAGGAGGATTTTCCTAGATTATTTGAGTTATCAGTAGAAAAAGAGGTCCCTCTTAAGTAGATGATGGATAAAAGAAGTGGCTTAATTGAATGGAAGCTGAGTTTCTAAAGGAATCTAAGAGCTTGGGAGGAGGATGAGATGGAAAGATTACAGTCCCTTTTGCTTTCACATGACCCATCGTTATCAGAAAAGGCTGATTCATTGGCTTGGAAGGCATCATCTTCAAGTATGTTCACTGTTAATTCAATTTATAATAGAAGTTGTATGGGGCAGAGCTTGGGGACATCAAGGCTGCTTTGGAATAATATCTCTCCACCAAAGGTTCAGTTTTTTGGTTAGCTCGCTTGGAAGGGTAAAATCAAATCAAGAGCTTTCCTCCAAAGAGTGGGGTGTCTTAGTAATGAGGCTCGATCGAACTGTATTTTTTGCAGCTGTGAGGTGGAATCAAGGTGTCATGTTCTGGTGCAGTGCCCTTTTGTTTGGAGGATCTGGACAAATTTGTTGAATTGATAGAATATAATTTGGGTGATACTTGAAAAGTCGAAATGGGTATTGGATTGGTGGAGAGGGTACAAATGGAGAAAGATTGAACAAAAAATTTATGAGGCAATTCCTTTGGCAATTTTGTGGTCTGTGTGGAGGCTACAAAATGAGTGTATCTTTAATGAAAAAAACCAATATTGGAGGAGGTTTGTGAGCTGATTAAAACTAGAGTTGCATTGTGGATTATAGCATCCTCTAGTGAGTTCCAATACTCAGTGCATGATGTGGTGGCCAATTTGGAACAGGTAAGACATGCATTACATTGAGGCATATTGTTTTTTAGTGATGCATCCCCATCAGTTTAAGGGGTGGCTTAGGGGATTACTGGTTATTGTAATGATTTGGTTGCTGCTATTATGGTTGCTGATGTAAAGGGATGCTCTTGGTGTGTTATTGCTACTATGGTTGTTGCTGGGGGTTTTGTTGGGTGGAGTTCATAGCTGAATGGGGGTTTATATTGTCTACATTGAAGAGCAAATTGGGGTACAGACATATAAAGAAATTGAAGATGCTCCTATTGCTGGCTTGCTACTGGTGTTATTTTGGAATGAGAATTGGTTTTATAGACTGCTCATGCTGCTGGCCTGCTGTTGGTGATATTTTTTCTTTAGTTACTACTGCTGATTTGGTGTATTTGTTACTGATGATCTATTACATGTTCTATTGTTCTGTTCTCTTTTCTTTCTTTGGTTGTTGATGTAAAGGGATGCTCTTGGTGTGTTATTGCTGCTAGGGTGTTTTGCGGGGTGGAGTTCATAGCTGAATAGGGGTTTATATTGTCTACATTGGGGAGGAAATTGGGGTAAAGACATATCAAGAAATCGAAGGTACTCATTACTCTTATCTACTGTCTGTAAAGAATTCCAAACTGGTTTTTTGGGTTGCTCCTGTTGTTGTGTTCTATTGGTGTAGAGGGGCTGCTATTGGTGTTCTGTTTTGGGATGAGGATTAGTTTTATGGGCTGCTGTAGACGTCCCCGAACGTCCCGAGAGGATGAATCCCCCGTTCTGTTCATATGGGCTCACTACAGTTCAGGACTCAAAGTCACGGTCCTGTATCTAATCTCTCAGAGTGCAATGCAAGACCGATGAATCGTCAAAGAGTCCAAATCTGGCAAATCGTTTTGAAAAACAGATTTTTGTAAAGAAGTGCCAAACATGGACTGCTTTGCCAGATACAGAGTCGCCACCTAAATATTTTATTTTGGGGGAATTTAGGAAACCCTGACTCGTTTGCCTAAGGCCATGTGTCCGTCATCACCAAAGTTGCCTCGGCTCGGGAACTTGGGTACGATTAGGGAAGGTCAGCTATGAGCACCCCCTCTCGCCCGATCTGAAGATCAGCCTCTACTAACCATGATATCCAGTTTTGAAAATACTATGCATTCTTATTCCGATTATTAGCCTAGGTTTACTACGTGATGCGCACAGAATACAAGTATAGACTGGATCGCCTGAATTGGAACAAAACATTTCATGTTTGTTTTGAAAATGGTTTGCCACTCATAAGTAGGCTAAAATGTGGCTTTTGCCACCCTCGAGTGGGCTTAGAAAAGATGGTTTTGCCACTATCTAGTGGGTTTAAAACTCATAGTTAATGCATTGTTCCAATTTAGATAATCCAACCTTCACCCACAGGCACTCAGGTAGATATATCACATAAGCACATAGCCTCATGGTAAGCATGTTATCATGGCAATATTCACACTCGTGTGAAATGCTAAAGCACAAAATACTTACAGTGTACTCCAAGCCAAAACAAAGAACTTGTTAGCAATCAATGCATGATCCAAGTCCATGTTAAGTGCCTAATGCAACGCATACAAGATGTAATTATGATAGGCTCGGCTAATCCTAGGATGGCATGTGAAATGCAACCATTTGGTGCACATATTCAAGTTAGATTTGAAATACTTATGCAGTTAGCATGATGCACCGAGCCCGGTGCATGCAAGATAAATGTATGGATGCATGCATGCATAGCATAGGGTATGCTAATTTAAATATGCCCTAATACTAACCATTGAAAGCAGGTAAATAAAAGGGAGAAAGAAGTGGGGGTTGGACGATATGCACATACGCACCCACACTTATTACAAATTCGCCCTTGCTCAGAGGGACCAAAAGAATAATACAATTTAACTAACTATCAAGCTAATTAAATATTACCGACAATTAACTAGTTAAGCCAATTAACTAAGCTAATAAAACAGTAAAAGCAGCCTCGGGAAGAGGGCCTAATGTATGCGCACTCGGCTCCGCTCGGAAGTCCACTGCCATGCACAAGTTGCCTCTGTTTCCCCTACTCTGCTCCTCTGAAAATTGCACAAATCCCAAGGTATGCTCCATGGACACTATGTATCACCACCGACCAAGTGGAAACCCCATCGACCATGTCCAAATGGTCATCGACCATTTGTTGAGCTCTCGGCCATCAATAATTGGTCGATCGGCAGTATAGATAGCCGGCCGGCCAAAGCTTCCTGCAGCAACCTATTTTGACAGCAGCAAAGGACAGACAAGGCATGGCAATGCATTTCAAGCAAATGTTTGCACAACCACACTCCATATCATGTTTAAGACTCAAGGGAGTATGGTGCTCGATCCTCGGACCACCAATCGCGCATTTCAATGCCTGATGGCCCAAGAAGCCAAAGCATGCAATTCAATATTAGAATGAAATGCATACAAACAAACAAGGGGCCCAACCTCAATCATGGTTAATCAAAAGGCAAGGCATGCATGCCAAATGCAACCTAGGCTTTTTAACTAAGTATGCAACATGGGCATGCAATGCACAATGCATACTAGGCATACAACCTATGCAAGCAAGCATGCAAGGCTTGAGGCAATGCAAACCAACAAGTGTGCAAGAAGCAATGTGGATGTTCAAACATGCAACAACACATGGAGCAAACATGTTAAGCAACCTAAACATGTAACAACACACAAGTATGCAATCAACACACAGGGTGAGCATGCAACAACATGTCCTGAACCAAGTATCTAAACATACAATCATGCATGCAAACATGGTTCATCACTTAGGCATAAAGAAGCAACTTCTAAGCACACTTAAAAGAGGCTAAACATGGGCATATGGCAAGCAATATAAGCTCTAAAAATCATGAAAAAGAGGTGCCAAACCAACGAATCAAAACAAGCAAAGCATGCATAAAAGCTTGGAATTAGCCCAATGTCTTAAACCATGATCATGCGACACATGAAACAAATGATCAAAGTGAATCAAAACAGTCTCAAATCATGCAAAAGTAGGCCCCAAAAACCACTTAGATGGCATCTAAATGATCTAATCCTAGAGGCATACACAATAGCACAAACATGGAGCATGAAACACCAAACCTCTAACACATTAAAAGGGCATCAAATGCAGGCATACAAGCACACCACATGGACTGAAATGGCATGGCAAGTGGTTCCAAACCACTGAAATGATGCAAGGATGGCATGCTAGAGGGGTTAATGCTCAAGGCATACAAGAGAGTTTACAAAGTAGCTATACAAAGCAAAGCATGGATGACTCAAATGACCAAAAACAGTCCCTTAGCATGCTAAAACAAGCATAAAAGATTCACAAAGCTAAGCCAAAAACATGCTAGAAACAAGACTCAAAGCACAAGGCATGTTAAGGCAATTCATGGCATTACAAGACATGTATGCTAAGCAAGCATGGTGTGTCTAAACCAAGTAAAAACAGAGGTAAAGCATGGAAAAAGACTACCAAATACCTACTGAAACATGGCCAACATGAGTTCAAAAATGGTGCTCACACATGAAGCTTAAATGGCACATTTTGAAGACAACAAGGAGAGGGGGTGGCCCTCTCCTTCTTAGGACCTTAAACACCCATCCTCACCACTGAAATCTATGGTGAGGAGGCCCAAACAAGGTGGTCCCGGAGCTCACCCGAATAGCACAAAAATGGGGCCAAATAAGCCCTAAGAGGGGTCAAACAACCCCAAAGCTTACAACTATTTAGAGCAGGCAAAAACAAGACTTTTATATGTTATACACAAAGTCTAAAAATAGTTACAAGATAGGTTAAAAGCTATGCAAAAATGGGGAATAAAGGGTGAAGTTCTTATCCTTGTAGACCTTCTTCACAAACAATGCTCCAGCTGGTTCTTTGAGCTCAAAACAAGTCAAGAACTTCAAGAACAGCTCCCTAGCACCTCAGTAGCCAAGGTAAGGTGTAATGGTGGGTGTTTGTGTGCAATAATACGACCAAACACACACTTATACACAAAAGAGAGAGAGATATAGAGATGGGGGATATGCAAACCCTAACCCTAATATCAGAGCCCTCTGGAAAAATGTTGTAACCCTAATGGAGGGAGAAGAGGCTCCCTCTTATCGAGCTCACTCTTGCAAAGCTTCCCAAGTGAGCTAGTCAAGAGGGAGATCCCTCCATACACGTGTATGGAGGGGAGCAAAGTGGGTGCCAGCTATCACAGCTGGCACAAAATATCTGCCAAAAGCAGATGCACAGTGGTCGGCCGGCCAAAAATGCAATTTGACCAAAATAGATGGTCGGTCGACCATCTAGAGTGCCGGTCGGCCAAACATTTGGCCGATGGCAACAAAACACAGCCGGTGGCCTCAAGCCATGGCCGGTGGAGTGTGGGGATGGCCAACAAGCCATTCCCTACCCTCAAGAGCAAAAACACAAGTGTTTGGTCAAAACCAAACACAAAACAGTCGAGTCGAGAGATCCTGAGGCAAGGCGCGTAGCCGAGACCTCCGGGAACTCAAGACGAACACAAACAAGGATGATCACCGAGTGTTCAAACGGTGACATCCAAGTCTTGAAGGCGGTCAAAAATGGGGTGTCTACAGCTGCTCCTGCTGCTGGCCTGCTATTGGTGTTATTTATTTATTTGGTTACTGTTGTTGATTTGGTGTATTTGTTTCTGTTGATCTGTTTCTTTCTTTGGTTGCTTTGATTGGTCTCTCACCAATCTTGGGTCAAATGCTAGCAAATGGTTGTGCTTCTTTTGCGGTGCCAACCCAGTTGGGATTGTGGAGGTTAGCTATGATGCTCTGTGCATTTCCCTTCTTGTTGATGTAAAATTTATATGTATTGTGCTTTTTTCATCAATAAAGCTTTGTTTTTGTTTTTGTTTTTTTTTTTTAAAAAAAAAAAAAAAACAACATCAATGTAGGGTTCTACAGAAAGTTGGTAGATTTCAGATGCAACGATTGTTGGGTGAATTAGCAAAACACAAGTACATTGAGCGACGTCGATGTGAAGAAGGCTCTATGACTGTCGCGGACTTGTTTTGGACACATCAAGTGAGTTTGGATTTGCTTTGTACATCCTCTCATGTGTTGATTATCGATTGCACATTTAAGACGAATAGATATCAGCTTTCTCTTCTTGAAATTGTGGGAGTGACATAAACTCATATGACATTCTCTGTGGCTATTGCATACTTGCAAACTGAGTAGGATGATAATTATGCATGGGCGTTACAAACATTGCGTGATCTTATGGACGACAATGATTTACATGAAGTTATTGTCACAGACAAAGAGCTTGCTTTGATGAATGCCATTGAGAACACATTTCCAAATGCTCGACATTTGTTATGCCGTAGGCATATTAATAAGAATGTATTAGTGAAATGCAAGAAAATATTTGGGACAAAAGAAAAATGGGACAAGTTTAATACTGCATAGAACTATTTGGTATTGTCATCGACTGAAGAGAAATATAATGATCAGCTTGCAATACTGCATAAGGATTTCAGTAACTATTCGGAGGCAATCAAGTATGTTACTATGAGTTGATTGAATCTGTATAAAAAAAAAAATCATTGTGGTACATACAAACATGTGTATGTATTTTGACAATGTCACAACCAATCAGTAATACCAGTTTTTTTTTTTTTAATTTCTTATAAATTATATTGTTATTTTAAATTATTATGCTTGATTATTTTTGTTTACATCCATATGAACAGGGTTGAGAGTGCTCATGCTAGATTGAAGAGGCAATCAGGTTCAAGTCAAACGACATTTGAGATTTCATTTGAAAAAATACATTGTCTACTTGAGTTGCAACACATTCAAGTAAAAGCATCATTCGAGAAGAGTTTGACAACTATGCAACATCAATTCAAACTTTCTCAATTCAGAGAACTCTGGGGTAATGTGTCTATTTGTGCATTTGAGTACGTGTTGGTAGAGAGTAAAAGAGCAAATTTAGTTGGAATTGATGTTGCAGCATGTGGGTGTGTTCTTAGGCACATGCATGATTTACCTTGTGCTTACGAGATTGCAAATTACATGAGACAAGGCTGTCTTATTCCACTCAGTAGCATACATGTACATTGGACACGACTTACTATATGTGTGCATAATCCAAAGGCTGAGAAATTGGAATTGACTTGTATCCCAGAACTTGAGATGATTTTGAAGAGGTTCAATGAGTCTGATATTGCCACACAATTGGATATGTTAAAGAAGTTGAGGGAAATTGCAAATCCAGCGAGCACTTTTCTTATTGAACCTGATGTGAAACCTAATCCACGTCGAGGACATAAAAATTTGATATATTTTGTCGTCGTGACCTGTGTGCATTTGAGTTGGTTGACGATGGTCATGGTAGCCAGAGCACATTAACTTCCAGTCAATCAAAGAAAAAGAGAGTTTCGAAAGTGCATAAGAAGAAGCGGAATGTAAAGACAAAGACATATCGTACAAAAACAAATTTACCGAGTGCATATGTTGGTGACTTGCCGCCTATATTAATACCATTCATAAAGTTGATGAAGGATGTAGATGGTGATAAGAATTGTGATTTTAGAGCTATAGCGGGTTTACTTGATCATGGAGAGAATGACTGGGTGCAAGCTAAGCGTGATTTGCTACTTGAATTGAATAATCACAGAGATGAATACATCGTACTATACGAGTCACATGAGAGGGTTGAGGAACTGACACACATCCTTTCATATTTTGAAGATAGCCTGGGCTTTGATCGTTGGATAACTATGCTTGACATGGGGCATCTTATTGCATCATTTTATAATGTAGTCTTGTACCACTTGTCATTACAACAGTGTCTCACTTTCTTACCTTTGAGATCACTGCCAGTAACCCTAGCTGATCGTCCTGAGATTGCCATTGAATTTGTCAATGGAAATCATTTTGTGCAGGTATAAGTTATGAAAATAATTGAACATTATTGTTTAATATTTGTGTAATTGCAAATTTGATGGATTTGATAAAGATATGTAATTTTTTAGATGTACATGCATATATTTTTGGAGGTCAGTCATCCAATTCCTCCCATTGCTGTGCTTCAGCGACTTCACCGTCATCTTTGTGCATTAGAATGAGAGAGTGCATATGTTAGCCGCATTAAAAAATTCAAAGACAACATAGGACCTAATATAGCTACTCGAGAGACATTTGATCACTACAACAAAACTAACTATTTACGGCATTATGTTTACGGCTTACGTTAAATGCATGTCATAGTTAGTACATTCTATGACATTTTTTTTTTTGCAAGATGTTAATGTTTTGTTAATAACAACATACTGTAGACGTCCCCGGAACGCCCCGGGAGGGTTGAGCTCCCGTTCTGTTCATATTGGGGTCACTACAGCTTAGGACTCTCAAATTTGTCACGGTTCTAAGTCTGAACCAAAGAGTCCAAATCCGGCAAATCGTTTTGAGAAAACAGATTTTGAAAGAAGTGCCAAACATGGACTGCTTTGCCAGATACAGAGTCGCCACCTAAATATTTTAATTTGGGAAATTTAGGAAACCCTGACTCGGTGCCAAAAGGCCACGTGTCCGTCATCACCAAAGTTGCCTCGGCTCGGGAACTTGGGTACGATTGGGGAAGGTCACTTCGTGAGCACCCCCGCTCGCCCGGTCATAGACCGGCCTCTACTAACCACGATATCAATTTTTGAAAACATTGTGAATTCTTATTCCGGTTATTAGCCTAGGTTACTATATGATGCGCACAGCATACAAGTATAGACTGGATCACCTGAATTGGAACAATCGTACGGAGTCCATGCAAAGACATCAAGGTTGCTGAGCAGGAAAGATATTAGCTGCAGTCTGTCGGCCTGACTGAAGGAGGCGGCGACCATGAAGAACTTGTCTAGGCTTCCATCAATTTGAACTCGTTCCAAGTCTTCCGTTACCTTTTCATTTGGGGGCCACCCGACATCGTCGAGGCTTTCTCGATCCGGTAACTCAATGGAATTCACCTGTAGTTCTTTTGGCGTTTTCTCAGCGAGGAGATAACATGCTTGTGCCGATTTCTAGGAGCCATGGATTTGCTCAATACCACGTTCTGTAGAAAAGCGAATCAGCTGATGATAGGTGCTGGGCACGGCTCGCATAGTATGTAATCAGGATCGCCCCATGATGAGATTATACGGCGATGGCAGCTTGATGACCAAGAATCCCACATCCACTGTTCGGGAGCCTGCTCGAACGTGAAGTCTAATTTTCCCCAACGGATACTCTGGATTGGCATTGAAGCCGAACAGTGGATAAGGGGTTAGAGAGAGATCTGATTCGGAGAAGCTGAGTTTGGTGAATGCCTTTTAGTACATAATCTCTGATGTGCTCCTCGGATCAATGAGTATGAGCTCAACTGTGAATGGGTTTACGCATTACTCAATTACCAAGGGATTAATGTGGGGTAGTGTTACTCCGGCCAAATCCGAATCATCAAAAGTGATAACCTCGGCTTCATGGGGCTGTTTAGCCAGAGTGAGTTGCTCTTGAGGGTTAGACTTCGACTGAATTGCGTGCACCGCTGATGACATTGGCAGGCTGTATACCATGTGGATCACGCAGAGCGAATGTGAATCCTGTGACAAGGCTATTGCTTTGGTTGGTTTGCCTTTTCGGACGTACCGTTGTTGCCGGCCATCTTGTACATATTTACCGTCGTACAAGGTGAATGACGGTGCTTTGAATTTTTTAGGTAGGACTACCTTTGCAATCTGTCGTACAAAAGAATCGTGTTGATCGTTATCCGAGCTGTTTCTTCTTCGCTTACGCCTTGTCCGAGGACTTTCTTCAGAAGAACGGGAAATTTACACGGGCACGCAAACCGAGAAAATGCATGAATGCTATCTAAGATACAATCTAATGTGCACTATGATATGAAAATGAAGTGCCTCAAAATGCGTGCGCGCGGGCACGCAAACCGAGGCAATGGCATACGCAATGCAATATGGCTAAAATGGCGTATTGTTTGGGAAGATAGCTTATACTAACATGAGAGAGCCTCAGCCACACTCACATAAGAGGCCGATGGATGAAAATGGAGTGCCTCGAAATGCGTGCACACGGGCACGCAAACTGAGAAAATGACAGAATGCGATCTAAGATACAACCTAGTATGCACAATGCTATGAAAATGAGATGCCTCGAAATGCGTGCACACGGGCACGCAAACCGAGGCAATGGCATACGCAATGCAATGGCATGGGAATATGATATGGGCTTACACTAACATGAGAGAGCCTCAGCCACACTCACATAGGATGTCAGTGGATGAAAATGAAATGCCTCGAAATGCGTGCACATGGGCACGCAAACCGAGGCAATGGCATACGCAATGCAAATGACATGAAAACATGATATGGGCTTATACCAACATGAGAGAGCCTCAGCCACACTCACATAGGATGCCGGTGGATGAAAATGAAGTGCATCGAAATGCGTGCACACGGGCACGCAAACCGAGGCAATGGCATACGCAATGCAAATGACATGAAAACATGATATGCAAACATGTTAATGGATTTCAGCAATGAAATGTGGGGGAAAACAGCCCCGAAATAAGGCGAAAACACACCCGATGCATGGAATCTCTCCTGAAATACAAATTAGGCGCATAGAATGAACTACAGCTATACAAAGCATGCATAATTGGTACATGAGATGAAAAGACAGAAGCAAGGCAGCCTCAAACTAAGCATTTTTACAGTACAAATCATGGCCAAACAGCAAGCAAGGATAGGGAAACAATGGCATGCAAAAATGGCCCTAAACGTGAGGTTATGAAGCAACTCACACCTGCTAACTCCAAATAGGTTAGGGCCCTTCAACAACATTGAAGAGGGGCCAAAAATCAGCCACTTTACAGAACTGTAAAAACCCTAAAAACAAACATAGATATGGCTAAGCTCTTATGCAATAAAATGGGCCAAAAGGTGGCCAAAGAGGCAAGTGGTATATGCACAGCCCAAACTGAAAAATTCCCTTCTACAACATTGAAGAGGGACCAAAAATATGACTATTTATAGAACTGTAAAAACCCCAAAACAATATACAAACATGCTAGAAATGCAATGCCAAATGAGGTTCAAAAGTGGCTATAACACAAAGTATGCAAAATATTCATCAAACAGCCAAAGACCCTTAATGAAACATGAATAATGGGCCAAAATAAGACTATTTCCAGTTCTGTAAAATGTCCAAAAACAGAAGCAAGATAGGCTAACAAATCATGCAAAAATGGGGATTAAAAGAGAGATATAACATGAAGTGTATAAAATATGCCTCAAACCATGAAAGGCCCTTAATGAAACATGAATAATGGGCCAAAATAAGAACTTTTCTAGCTCTGTAAAATGACCAAAAATGGAACCAAGATAGGCTGCCAAGTCATACAAGAATAGGGGACCAAAGATGGATATAAAGACAAGTGGTACATGCAGGTCCCAAACAAAGATGAGCTCTTCTTCAATGTTGAAGAGGGGCTCAAAATAAGCCTACTTACAGTTCATGAGAAACTCCAAAATAGATCACATGTAGGTTAGAAAAAGCATGCAAAATATTGACATACAAAGAGGGTATTGAAGCAAGTGCTAGATGGAGGGCTCAAACAGGGTTGAGCCCTTAATGAGACATGAAAATGAGCTCAAAAAAATGACCTTTTCAGTTTTGGTCGGAGCTCAAAACAGTAAGCATGATAGCTAGAGGAATGGTGCAAAAATGAACTAGAAAAGAGGGAAAATGGACTCACCCTTGAAGATCAATACTTTTGTTGCTTCTTGGACCAAATTTGTTGCCTCTTAGCTGCTGGAATTCCTCCCCTTGCTGCTGGAATGGAGTGGTGGTGGTAGAGCTTGGTGGTGATGAAGAAAATGAGGTGTAGCTTAGGAATTTTCAAGGAAAATGAGAGAGATGGAGTGAGATAAGTGTATCAAGGCTTGAAGCAATTTTTTCTAACCCTCAATACCAATGCCACCTGCTGGTTATAAGGACCAAAAGAGAGGGAGTATGGAAGGAAAGGGTGGGGGAAAAAGGACCAAGGCTTTCCCCCACAAAATATCCCCCGAATTGAGATATTTTCTGGGGGAAACAGCCATACAGCTGTAAAGTACCAATTGAGAGGATCATGGCCGGCCACCTTTTGGGCTTGCAGGTGGCCGGCCGGCCACCTCCCCTAGCCGGCCGGCTAGGGGTCAAAAAGGCCAAGTGGAAATAGTGGCCGGCCACCACATATTGGTGGCCTCTCAGGTCTCCTCTTCACAACCCTGTGGTTCGAATTTGGAAACTCTAAAACAGGTGAGAGAACAAGCCATTTTGAGGAGGGGTTCAAAAGGTTCAAATGGAATTAATGGCCGGCCATAAACTTTTAGGGTCCTCCCATGTGTGTACAACACAAATATGTGGTTCAAAGTTCAAGAAAGTGGCCCAAGGGTGTTCAACATTGGCTCGGAAGGAGGGGTTCAAAAGGGTCAAGAAGCATTAGTGGCCGGCCATGAACATTATGGTCCTCCCATGTGTGTACATCGCAAATATGTGGTTTGGGTTTGAAGAAAATGGCTCCAAGGTGTTCAACATTGGCTGGCATGGAAATGGCATATAGGGGCCAACATGGACTTATACTAACATGAGAGAGCCTCAGCAACACTCACATAAGAAGCCGAAGGATGAAAATGAAGTGCCTCGAAATGCGTGCACACGGGCACGC